AAAGTGCAAGGGGCCTCTGCCTATAGCCAGCAAGAACATAGTGGTGTCTGCTCTACAACCGCAAGGAACTGGCTTCAGGCAGCTGTAGAAATGAGCAGGGAGCAGACTCTGCACCCCCACCCCACCCCAAGCTTCCAGAAAGGAACACAGCCTTGTGAACGCCTCATTTAGACCAGTGACACCTGTACTGAACTTCTCAACAAACCTGGGAGATAATCAACTCCTGTTGTTTCCAACCACGACGTTTGTGAGCCTGTGTTATGGCAGCGGTAGAAAACAAATACAGCCATTAGAATAAACCCTTTTTCAGCCTGCTTTTGTTTTTGTTTTTAACTTAGCAAATGAGTAGGAACATTTTTCCATCCACTCATAGTCTCCCACAACACCCTGGGCAGGGGGCTCATTGATTTCCTTGTTGATGGTTAGGAACAATTTGTTAGCTGACACTCTTCCATTGTTACCAATAGTGAGAGTGATGATTCCAATACACTCTGTTGCAAACAGCTTTGATTCTCTCCTTTGGGAGTGATAGGTAGAAGTGGACTGGTATTTTTCTTTATTTTTAATCACTTTATTGGGGGCTCATACAACTCTTATCACAATCCATACATCCATCCATTGTGTGGAGCACATTTGTACATTTGTTGCCATCATCATTCTCAAAACATTTGCTTTCTGCTTGAGCTCTTGGTATCTTTTAATTTTTTTTAATTTTTTTTAAAACATTCTATTAGGGGCTCATACAACTCTTTTTTTAAATCATTTTATTAGGGGCTCATACAACTCTTATCACAAGCTATACATGCATCAATTGTGTGAAGCACATTTGTACATTCATTGCCCTCCTCATTCTCAAAATATTTGCTCTCCACTTAAGTCCCTGGCATCAGCTCCTCATTTTTCCCCTCCCTCCATGCTCCCCCCTCCCTCATGAACCCTTAGTAATTTATAAATTATTTTTTGGGTATGTCTTGCACTGTCCAACTTCTCCCTTCACCCACTTTTCTGTTGTCTGTCCCCCAGGGAGGAGGTTATATGTAGATCCTTGTAATCAATCGGTTCC